GGCTGGAAACACAGTGACAGGTCCCTAAACAGCACCCACATTTGTGGGCTGAAAAGCTGCGAGAAACAGAGTAATGGGTCCTTAATAAAACACCCACATTTAGGTGCTGAAAAGCGGCTGGAAACAGAGTGACGAGTCCCTGTAAAACATAGATATTTGGGGGTTGAAAAGTCCCTGAAAACACAGCAGTGATTTGCTAAAGAACAGCTGGTTTTTGTGGCACTATTTCTGGTAGAAAAAAACCAAGGGGTTGCTAAAAAATACCCACTTATGTTGGCTAAAAAGCAGCTGGAAACACAATGATGGGTCTCTAAACAACACCCACATTCAGGGGCTGAATGCCGCTAGAAACAGAGTGATGTGTCCTCAGTAGAACACCCATATTTAGAAGCTGAAAAGCTGCCAGGAACAGAGTGACAAATCCTTAAATACAGCCATATTTGGGGGCTGAAAAGTTGCTGGAAATACAGCAGTGATTAGCTAAAGAACAGCTGGTTTTTGTGGCACTATTCCTGGTGGGGAAAAAAAGCGAGAGGTTGCTGAAAAACACCCATGTTTGTTGTCTAAAAAGCAGCTGAAAACACAGTGATCGGTACCTTAACAACAGCCACGTTTAGGAGCTGAAAAGCTGCTGGTAACAGAGTGACGAGTCCCAAAAAACACACCCATTTTTGGGGTCTGAAAAGTTGCTGGAAACACAGCAGTGATTTGCTGAGGAACAACTGGTTTTCATGGCACTATATCTGGTGGAAAAAAACCAAGGAGTTGCTAAAAAAATGGCCACATTTGGGGGCTGAAAAGCTGCTGGAAACACAGCGATGACAAAGCCAGCATGTATATATATTGTCAGTTTAGAAACATTAATGTGATGCGTATGAAACGTGCCAGTGTCAATGCCAACATTTTTTTCTGGCGACTGGGCTGGAGTGTGACACCAGAATCCCAGGTAACAAAAGCCTTTTGGTTGAGGTTACGAAAAGATCATGATTTCAGTTAAATTGAAAAAATTTAAATGCCGTACTCACTACAAATGGATGCTGCTTTGCAAGATTGCCTAGTTTGGCATTAAAAAAAACTGTCAGGATTTTGTTGAATGTTTCAGTAGCAACATTTTTGTGTTTGCCAGGTATGTTAATTAGTAACATTTACTCATTATGTTAATAGAATATAATTCCCTTAGCAGTCCTTAAAAAATGTATTTGCTGATTAAAATTATTTGTATATAAACGCAGTTTCTAAGAGACAGGGCTGCAAAAGTGGCATCAGGTATGCTGAATATCTGTTTTGTGGGGTGAGCTCTCCAGAGCAGAGAGAGGCTTTACTCCATACAGAAGTTAATCACCTCTGTTCGGCGAGTCAAACTGCGGGCAAGGATACTGAAATTAATGGTATTCCAGACTTTTACCGATACTTGTGGGGCTTGTTAGATAAGCTGGTTCATTTAGGAGTCTTCCTGATTTCACCAAGAGCTGAGACTTACTCAACAAATGAGACTTTATGTGTTTTGTGAACGTTGCCCTGTGCACGTCTCAGGGTGTTAAGACAGCATTTTTCTTATCACATATAACGTGTAAGGATGTAACTGCGAGAGCGGAGTGTTGCCGGTCAGGAGAAAGCGTTTCATTTTGTTGATAACAGGCTTCTTTCTAAAGGCACGAGGCTGCTTACATTTACCACTGAGCCTTTACTGTGTGCTTTGAGGGCCAGACTGCAGGAGAGTGTGTCTGTGTATTTATGTGTCTTTGCAGCTGTTAAAGGACGTCTCTATTTCTATATGCTAATGAAGTCCCTGTCATATTTATAGCATGATGTTTAAATTCTAGCCTGGAAGCAGAGAGGACCTTGTTTACTTTGGTGTAATGGAACCAAAGTAAAGACCTCAGATTCTTGTAAAAACTCTTTTTAGGGCCTTTGAGGTGCTGAAATAAATGGGCTTCGTTCTGGCAGGACTGCAGTTGGTTTTTTGATGTAATCATCATCTTTACCTTTGAGATTTTTGCCATGATGATTACATTCGATCACAAACAGAAATACAAACAACACTTACCACTTCTTGGATGAAATTTCCTGACCCATGAAAGACTCCTGCTGGTATGAAAAATATTGTGTCTGCTGTGAAGTAAAGTGGCTTTTTAAGCATCTGCATGAGCTGCGACTATATTTCTTCAACCAAACAAAGACAGCAACCAGAAACATGTCTCTGCTTATTTTTATACATTACATATATTACATTCATGTTGTCATATATGATATTGATTTTATGTTATTCTGCTGTTGTACATGTACAAGACGAGGGAGGAGATGTTTTGTGTTTTTTGATGTCTTCATGGATTAGACTAGATTAGAAAGAGCTTCTGGGGTTTAGTTTTTATATTGAGCATGACATTTTATTTATTTGGCTTTGATCTGATAATAGTAGATTTATTGTGCCTCAGGCATGAACATTTTTGTATTCTCGTCCTAGCCTCTATTTTTCCTCTGTGTTCCTAGTACGATTTTGCAAATTGCTCATTTTCGTTTGGAGAATGCCACCTGTTCTGAGTAAATGCACACTGGTGAGATGAGATCATTTGTATAAACAACACCCCCAACTTGCAATGACTGCCTGTTCTGCTCCGTTTCTGGGCAAGTTTCATTGACAAAAATATCACTCGAGAATAAAACCTAACACTGCAGAACTCCAAGTCCAGCTGACGAAAAAATCAGCATTTCAGGTGCTTTCACACCTAACCAGTTTGGTCCTGTTAAAGGGCCAGTGTGTAGGATTTAGGGGGATCAGTATGATATTCATTACTATGTTTTCATTAGTTTATAATCACCTGGAAGTAAGAATCTTTGTGTTTTTGCTACCTTAGAATGAGCCGTTTATCTACATATGGAGCGGGTTCTCATCCACAGAGTCCATCATGTTGTTCAACAGCAGCCCAGAACAAACCAAACACTGGTTCTAGGTAGTGTGTTGGCATTTTCACATCAGTCACCATAGTTCTCCTAAACTGGAGAAGTTACAGTTCTGCAACCTTACCACTAGATGCCACTAAATCCTACACACTGGACCTTTAAATCTAACTGGTGAAGACTAAATAATCCAATCCAATCAATCAAGTAAAATCAATCAACGTCAGGGCTGCGTGACAACAGATATGTGATTGTTGCAGAAATTCATAAGCTAAACCCTTAAATCCATCTGCTGATCAGGAACTCAGATCTCCCAATCTATACACATAATAGCCTATATACAAGATCATCTGGTTACCATGTGAACATAAATGCGTCATCATGTGAGTGTGCGTATTTTCCCTGATGTGATGAGCTTGTGTCCTGCTTTCTGTTCCTTGGCAGCTCCTCAATATTAGTGAGTGACAAGAGGGAAACAGCAACAATGCAGAAACTATTCGACAGCACAGTCTGTTCTTCACTGTTTATGAAACACGAGTCCCGATTGCAGTCTTGACTCATTATTAGTCATTTCTTTGTGATGTCAGACAATATGAATAAACATATAAAGCACAGAGGGCATCATGAGTCACCAGAGTTTATTTTTGGTGTGCTGATCATTTAGGATGACGTTGTTGTCGTTTGTTTGTAACAAGTCAGTGTGAACACAACCCAGGGAAGAACTGAAACGCAATTATGTCTCTTTTTTTCCTTTGGTCTAGGACAAATGACAAAAGTACAGGTGTGAGAGCTCCATTAAGGCATTCTGAGTCTTTTCACACTTTGAAGAGCAGCAGACAGTCTTTACGTGACTTGTATTACCACCTGTGAATTTTGTTTGTGCCTAAGTGAAGTTTCTGAATTTGAGAAAATTGATGAACCCAAGAAGTTCTCTTAAAGAATACTTCAACCACAAAATGATCATTTGTATATTGATTATTCACCCTGTGTTAATGTTGAATTTGTGAGGAAAAGTTTGCTTTTCTCGCAGAGTTCAAACGCACACTTTTTCGTCCATGCATGAGACAGTTCACGCAGAAGTGTTTTGAATAGTAAGATTTCAGTGTAAATGCGAATGAAATAGCATACTGTACGAGCTGTGTGAGAGTTTGTAAACTGATGTTTCAAAAAAGTTTTGCTGCTGTTAAAGATGGTCACCTTTTACTTCAATTCATCAAAAGTTTCCGGCTTTTTTTTTTTGTTTGTTTCTTTGTTTACTGTGGAGGCATGCAAGAAAAACAAAGCTTTCTTCATGTATTCCCTGTAAAAACGTTTGTGCACTTTTTTTTCTGTTTAATCCGTCATCCGAAAAAAATCATCACACACACAGAAACCTTGCACACTGATTTTGATGTTTTTTATGGTTCTATTTGTTTTCAGTACGTGACAAAATTAAAAGACACATTTCCTCCTTTCGTCTCTCCACTGGAATTACCTATCTGGCTGTCACCACTCCCTCCCTGTCTGTCATTTAGCACCACAGCTGCATGAAGGGGCAGAGCTGTCCTCCCTCTCTGTCCTCCACATTCTATCAGCGGTCCACATCCTCCTCCTCGTCAACATCATCCATATGACTATCTGACATGTTGAAAGTGAGCTATCTGAGTTATGAAATGATTCTGTGCGGCCCGTTCCTCTGTCTTGTCGCAGCTGTGTCCTGCCACCACATTTTCTTCACTGAGTCTTGGTCAAACGTCTCTAAAGGCTCTGACGGATGCAAAAACGCAGAAAATTGAACCTGTTCCAAAAATTTAAAAGACGGACAAACGTTTCACTGTCAGTGTGCAAATGCGATTGACTAAATATGAAGTTGTACTTATTTTTAGACGTGTGATAATTTCGGACAAAAAGATGGACTCAGTATGCAAAGGCCTTAACACAAGGTGAGCAATGAATATGCAAATGGTTAATTTGGGGATGAAATATTCCTTTAAATCACTTGTACTTGGTGCTATTTAGCACTGACACTAGCCCCATCCATTGTACAATCAATTGAAATCAGTTAAGTTTTCTTAAAATTCACATTATCTCTGTGTGTGTCTCTCTCTGTCTCTCTCTCTCAGAGGGGTGGCTCAGCTCATAACTGTGGCCTGCTGAAGGTGGGTCAAGTGATCCTGGAGGTAAACGGGGTTTCCATGAGGGGCCGCGAGCACAGGGACGCCGCACGCCTCATTGCCGAGGCCTTCAAGACCAAAGAGAGGGACTACGTGGACTTCCTGGTGACCGACTTCAATGTGGCGCTATAGCTGAGTCGAAGAGGAGTGAGGACAATGTGGGCAGCGCCAAGAGAAGAAGAGTTCAAGGACAACGTGAGAGGAAGACATTTAAGCGTCTATTGTTTTAAATGGCACAACTCTTTTAGATAGACATAAACGAACCACCATCTGATCTCTGAGCCGCTCTTCTACAAAAAAAAAAAACAACCCACCCTTTGAGTCTGGATACATGATACTCAAATTTACAAGGTATTACTTCCGCCGTGGACTTCGTTCAGGATCCTCCTCAACGTGTTACCTCCCCACTGTGAGACCTTATGCACTAAAAAGGAAAGTAGTGAAACCCAATACATTTTCTTTGTCCTCTCAGTGTTGAAACTTGTGGAGTTACAACCATTTGAATCCCACTGGACCTTCTCGTAGCACTCCCACTTCCCATGGTCAGTTAATTTATTTTTCGCTTCTACCTGAGAGACAACTGCACACCTAAGACTGATTCACGCTCGACTTTACAAGCTTGGATTTGTATATGTAAAAATGAACAAATGTAGATACAGATGCGTATATACTGTACACATAAGGATATTCCTATATGAATTATAAAACCCGTAACCTATGTTGCATCATCAGCATATAGTGATATATTTCAGAGATGATGATAATTCAGGCCATTCTCGTGTTATGGGATTCTACACATTTTACAGTGATGCTAGTGGCCTGTCTGCATATTACCACCCTTGAATAAATAAAATCATGTCAGGCGAGTAACAGCAGACATTACATGCTCATATTTGTTTGTCAGACATCAGGCAAGGCATGTGTATGATGTAAATCTTCATATGGGCAGCACACAAATGCATTTCCTGTTTTCTTTTCTACTTCTCCATGTGTATCTGTTTTGTTTGAGACTATGTCCACACTTAAAGCTCCAGTAGGCAACATTGTTTTGGTATAATTGAGTAAAAGTTTTATAATATTCTCTAAGCATAATGTATATCAAGTGGTCTGAAACAAACAATAGGTTTCTGCACCTCACCATGGCTCTGTGTTCAGCCTCTAAAGAATCAGTATCGTGCTGATGTGCATCAACCAATCAAAGGACAGCTCAGACCACTGCGTTCCTATTGGCTGTTCTACTGCATATGCACGTTCCCGTGCTGTCGGCAGAAGGGGAGAGCAAGTGGCAATGGTGAACAGTGCACCAGGTAAAATAGCTATTCCAGCATTGGCTACAACTGCCTACATGGCTAAACAACCCAAAAAAAGGAAGACAGAACTCGGTTCCCCGGAGCCCCAGAGGGAGGGGAAGGGTGAGGTGGGGCCGGGCCCGGCCGGAGGGTGCGAGGGTCGGCCGTGGGAGCGGAGCCGAGGGCTCTCCGTGGAGAGGGAGAGCCGAGCCTCGGGGGTATGTGCGGGGCGGGCTGCTGCGCGGTGAGGGAGAGCCGAGGCTCGGGAGTAGGTGCGGGTCCGCGAGGGAGGGATGGGGAGGGCTGCTGCGCGGAGAGGGAGAGCCAAGGCTCGGGTGTATATGTGCGGGGCCGCAAGGGAGGGATGGGGCGGGCTGCTGCGCAGTGAGGGAGAGCAGAGAGGCTCCCAGAGCGGGAGAAATAGAACCAAGTAGGATAAAATACTCACGTGCTCGTCTAGTAGGAGGGGCTCAGGGCGGAGACGAATGAAACCTAACTCAGATGAGACTCAAAAATCAACTGTTTTCAGGCTTTCTACTTACTGCAGCTTTAACCAGCTAAATTTGAAAATGCTTTGAAAACAAAATGCCCTCTTCAATTATCACCTATGCTAATTTTAGAAGAACTCACAATTTATTTGTTCTTATTAACATATTCTTCTGTTGCTGTTTTCAGACACCTACAAAAGTTAAAATAGTGCTATGATAGCAGATCAGAAATCCTACCTGATGCCACCCTACTAGCTGCTCTTTGAGCCCATCCCTCTAAGTAAGAAATACACCAGATGAGCAACTAGTTTGTCTGTTTACAGTGCAACCAAACAAACTCATGTCATTTTAAGAAGTAAGTCAGTCAATAATTGGCTGTTCCCCATCATCCCATGAGCAACTGCAATCTAATTTCATGCTGCACACATTGCAAGTAGTTTTTAACACAACAGCAGGACACAGTAAAAAGAGTTGGCTACCTTGGTGAGGTGTTGGAGGTGTTCAGCCAGTCTGCTGCAGCTCTTCATCTAACAGCTCACTGATGCTGCTTCTGACTGTTTCTATTCTTCCCTGCAATAGTTAGAACTGATCTGCTTTTAAAAATGCAGAAAATTATTATTTTCTCATTTTAGCTGTCAGTAATAACCTCGCTGACAAATATATCCTGTGACTACTTCACAATAAAAGCAGCATTATGGCCCTTTCATAACTGGTATTATCATGGCTCTCAAGTGATCTGATCACAAGTGGACGGCGCTAAATAGAATTGTAAATGAAAATCAAGATGCATTGTGATCACACAAACTGAGATGGTCTGGGCCACATTCAATCACGTATCTTTTTTGTAGTGTAAACACTGATGTGTCCTGATACGTCCCCTTCAAGGACTACGTCAACAATGTAGGACGTGGTAGTAACTTGCCCATTTTGCGACGAGTTGGACGAAGTGTTGCGTGACCGTCCAGCCTTTTGCCCTGTAGACCTTTTTACTGTCAGTAAACAGTATGATGTTTTTTGGTGGGCGAGGCTTAGCTAGAGGCAAAACAATTCTCCACAGACACTAGCTAGCAAGTTCTGTTAGCTTGTTTTAGACAATGGAGGGAGATGATGTGAGTGGTGTGTTCAGAAATATTCATTTCGAGTGCCGGAGCGCACTCTGGCACAAACTGGACCGATCCTAAATTCGTAACGCTATCAGAATGTACTGTTCGGTTATTCAGAGCACCGCACTCTCAGAATGGCAGAGCACACTCTGAGCACTGTCTGAGCAGCAGAGCACTGAGCGGAGTGAATGTGTGATTAACTTAACTGTTCATTAATTCATGTAGAAATATAACGCTTTTTTTCTTCTACCAAAGGGCTCTCATTTTAGTGTAGAGTGTTAGACTGAATTTACGAACGCACCATGTCAGGTCACTCACTCTTCAGGACTGCGAGTGTTACTTGAATGAGTAATCACTGGCCAATCCGTATGCCCTCACTCAGTGGATCGATTATGTCACAGGAAGCTTTGTGGTTGATTACTATGCCAATCTTACAAAGGAGGACGACACTTCAATGGTCTCCTCCAGTTTGTTTTGCTATCAAAGCTAACGTTAGCTAATGCACTTAAAAGTTAGCATTATGGAGATATCCAATATTCCTATTAATACCTCCCCAGTTTCTGATGAGGTGGACATGATAACCCTTAATACACATAACATTATTCATCCCTACAACATTAAATACTTTTTCCCTAACCTGATATGAAGTGTGGGCTGCACTTGTGAGCATTTTTAGTGAACACCTCCGTCCAGTCCTTTCGTCTTATCGCATTTAACCATAGTTGTTTATGTTGACGGGCAGTGGCGGCTGGTAGGCGATAGAATTTAAGTTTTGAGCCATGACTTCTTCTATTCTGGCTCCCAATAACACAACAAGACCACATTGTAAGACTTCTATGTAGCCTACAGCCCTGTGGTGGTGAGTTGTGTTTTGCCTCCAGCTAACAAACTGACGTGGTTGTGACGTCGGCCTTAAAAGGGTCTATGGAAGGACACCTGTTGAATTCTGCAGACAGAGATATCTTCAGCTACAGTGATACAACTGCTTACTTGACACAGGCAGCAAGCGAAGATATGGAAGTAATAACTCTGTGCAAGGCTCTTTGACCTTCTTGTGTAAGCGACTTAGGTAGTGACGAAATCTGAACACAAGTGGTCAACTGGAGACACAAAACAGACACAGGTGTGAACAGTGATTTGTTTTGGCTGTCGATCAGTGAAACACATGTCAGTACCAGGTGTAAGCAGGCTCTGTGTTTCACCAGCTGAATGTGGGGGGACTCTGGGGGACTGATAGGTAAACACTGAGGCTTATATAAATTAGATAAATTAAAAACACCGGATAACATGCTGCATCGTTTACTGTGAATCCCGATGGGAAAGGCGGACCCGCCACTTAAGATGAGAGCTACCACATAGAGAGGTAATTACAGAAAGTAAATACAGTGAATGGCTACTGCTGAAAGAGTGCCGGCCATGAATAGTATTAACACCTGCAATGTAGCCAAGTTTTCTGGTGCACACTAAATCATGAGGTTGTTGTGTTCAGTTTCATTCACTCTACAAAGCAAGTTTGAAAAGCTCAGTTTTGGTGCAGCAAAAACACAACACATTATATGCGTTTCCAGATCTGGCCTGTTTAGTGTGGAGGTACACTCAGAGGGGATAAATTCCCTCATTCTTTCCCCCTCACACTGCTCAGCTTTCTTCCTGCTACTCTGAATAACAATTGATGATTTTATTTTGTAATTTCATAGTTTTAATTATATTCACCCTGGGGGGCTTGCTGAAGCCACGCTCAGTGCAGCAATTATGCCCAAGAGGGGAGTAATGAGACATTTAGAGGACGACACTGCCAAAGATTTGAGGAACACTCCTTCCACACATGTTCACACATGGAGCTGATTTGCATGCACGCACACACTCCATCCACTTATAGAAAAGCAATTAGGAGATAAGCAATCAGGTGGAGTGAGAGATGGAGCGAGGAAGAGAGGAAGAGGGAGAATGAGGATGAGGGAGCGACAAAAGTAACAAATGAGACGTGATTGTTGTTGTGATGATTTGCTTCCTCTCAGGAAGAGTGCAAGCGTGAAGAGGATGTACGGCAAACATCCTCTGTGTGTCACTCCAGAGACTCGCAGTAGGCTGTTGGTAGAAATATGAGGTAATTGGAGTAATTAATCTAAGTGTGCATGGATGTGTGTTGTGTATAGGTTTAATGTGAGTGTTGTGTGTCTGTCTGAAGTTAATGAATGAAAGGAGAATAAAAATCAGCTCGAAACAAGGAGACGGCAAATAAAGACAAATGTAAATGTCATCAAGGGAGCTGCTGTATCAGAGCAGTATGAGGAAGTGAAGCAGTAGTGTGGTAGTCAGGGCTTTTTGAAGAATGCCAACAGAGCAGCTCTGTGAGAAATTGCTATCAAACACTCCTGAATCACTCTGGTGACAGCTAAGAGAAAAGAACAACACATCCATGCTTTGTTTTGACACCATATCTGAGCTGTCTATCTTTAAAATGTCAGCCTTTAATGAATAAAAAACAAAAGTTAGGAAGGGTTTTTTTAAAGGTCACACCCACATCCTGTACCCGTAATGCCTAATTATGATGCCAAAATGTATTTTTGGACAGAGTCTATCATTTCTTAACAGGCGAAAATCTGATGAAACCTTGTAGTCTGTTTATCACGTTGCTGATTTTACAATTGAGAAGTAAGAACCATTTTTTTAAAGCTGCATGATTTTATTTTGGCCACCAAATGGCACAGCTCTGATATAATTTTAAAAATCTGGCTCTTTCGCTACTAGGTTGGTTGCTGATTTTGTCCACGTTCGTTTCATTTTAGGAAGGTAGGGTATATGACGTTGATGAGGCGCTGACAGTGACTGTGTATAGACATAACACAAAGTGAATTTTAAAGGCAGCATGATTGCATACAAAGTCAATGGAAAGAAGCAAAACGGTTGATGCAAATTGATGCCAACACACGTTCTTGTGCGGTGAAAATGTTTCAAATTGAGCAAAAATGTATGCATATCCCCAGGCTTTATGAAACTATGATGTAAACATGTGGTGAAGTGAGGAAAAAGAATAGAGACTGGAGGGATATGATAGAAAGAACCAGAGTTTCTGGTGAGATCGGTCAGAGGCTGAACTGAATACCAACACATAATACCGCACACGGTCTGTGCATTCCTTGCTTGCTAGCTTACAGCTCATGTACAGTGGGTACAGTGACTGTTAGGGGCAAATTAATGGTCAAGTGGTCAAGTACAGTGAAGTGAAATTAAAGTAAATGTGCTGTAAAACTGGAACACTAAGCTAAAAGAAGCTTAAAAACTCTGCTTA